GGGGGCGGGGGTACCAAGTTATAGCTTGCAACTGTCGAAAAGTACCAATTTGAGTACCATAAATGCGATTTATAGAGTGGCATCCTAGCTGCTCAAGCATAGTTCATTTCAGCAGTGTCTTCTTAATGCTGCATTGAGAGATTTCAGCTTACTTCTCTAGCGGTACTAGAAGTAAAGTACCATTATTTATCACCATTGCTAAGTTATTACTATTCATTCCATGGCACCACCAACTAAGGTCTATCAATGAGTAATCCTGAGAATATGCGGGCAAAGTCAGAGGTTTGAAGAGTAAGAAGCAGTACATTTGCGTCTGTTAGGTTAATTACGAATTTGAGGACGGCATCAGAAGCTGCTTCCAGATAGTCAATGAATCCTTCCACTTGGCTAGCCGAAGAAGCTTTCCGGGCAGCTGCCTTTAGCCATTCATGCTTCGCATGCTTCGTTGCCCAATCCTAAAAAGAAAGCTTTGATAAAAAATTTTCTGTTTTAGTAAAATTTCATCAGAAAATCGAGATATTTTCTGACTAAGTAGCAAAGCTATGAAGAAATCTAACCAGTGAAGCGGCATCAACTTCTTTCGCTTCAAAATGCTTCTTAAGGATTTCGATAGCTTCAGTAAGTTGTTGTGTTGGATGGAATTGCGCATGGGGTGCAGCTTCGTTCGTATCGTACGATCCTTCCGAATCAGAGGATGAACTTGAACTAAACAAAATCACATAGCCAATTCTCAGTTTCTTGAAGTTTTAGCTGATTAATAATCTATTTAATGGCTGAATTCAATCCTATCTCTAATTGTAGCCTGGCAAAACTCATATTACTTGCTCTCAAATTCTTAAATCTATGTTTATTCGCGATGAATTTTCGGTATGTTATTGAGATGCATCTGCCCGCCACGATTATGATTGATAAGCGTAATGTGTTAAAAGTAAGCAATTAACCTATCGTCTATAACGATCGGTGTTTTACTGGCGCACTGCACTGACGCTGCAGGCGTCCGAGGAAGCTGGGTAGAGACGATTCGTGGAAGCGCAATTACTCGGCCATTCGAATAGTTCCGCAATGTGCGCATTTCCGATCGTAACGGCGTCAATCGATCTGCCACTTCAGCTTCCTGGAAAAAAACCCGATTCGCGTCGAAAATACATACAAAAAATTAAATTTATATCATTGCGACCATGCGAAAAAGTGAAACCCAATGCCGTTGAAACTAACAGATATCGCGCATTACTGAGTGGTACTCACGAGAAAGTAAATGGCCATTCAAAAGTTAGCCCCCACGTAGTTGGTGCATATTCAGCGAACATAGGATTGTTAGTTAGTAAGGAGATTCTTTATGGTCTAAGAGGGATACTAGCTCAAGATCGAAAGATCTGGCGTAGTTGCGTCCGGAGTAAAATTACCAATATAGGAGACTCAAACTGTGGCTCGAACGGTCTTGGTACTCAAAAAATTTGACAAATATCTCCAAGCTGATAAGGTACTTTGACGTGGTCTAAAAGTGATAACGCTCGAGAAGTGGTATGTTACACATCACACGCACAGACACACACACA